ATTTCCTTCAATCTTCCGAAATTTCCTTCAAATTTCCTTCAGATTCGAATTTCCTTATAACTTCCTTCAACTTGTTAAGATTTCCTTCAAAAAGGAAATTTCCTTCAAAATGTAAGCACTGAAAACAACATGCGAGACCATTGAACTATAAATAAACTGGAAGGCTAACTCCTATGATGGAGGCCTATGATTTGATGACGCCAAAATAGTTTTTCTGAGTTATGAGCAGAAATACTTGATCCCAAACGTTGGGCTATATGTCACATAGAAGCTATTGGAAATTTCTATTCGGTGTGGAAATTTCAAGACTTCAGCGAAAAGAAAAATATTTAAAAAATACAAAAACAACTGCAAAACGGCAAATTATAGGCAATTATTTTTGTATTTTTTTTCAATATTTCCCTTTTAGCTAAAGTCAATATTTCCCTTTAGCTAAAATTTCTATACCAAATACCGTTTTTCAAGAGCTTCAGTTTTATATACAGCCCAACGTTCAGTGTTGAGTATTTCTGCTCATAACTCAGAAAAACCAAAATGCACTGGCTTCAATTCCCCCCTAAGTTAGCCTTCCAGTTTATTTATAGTTTTCCTGATTTGGATTAAAATTTCCTGCAAAAATATTAAAATTTCCTTTATTAAGAATTTGTTCCATTTTTATGTAGATTTTCACAAAATCATGGCATAAAAAGTGGTTAAAAACATGTGCTTATTATTTTTTTCCGAAATTTCCTTCACATTACCTTCATAAAGCCAAAATTTCCTTTGAAAAGGAAATTTCCTTCAATATGGAAGCGTTGCGCGAGACGGCGAGCGATGAAGTTGAACTATAGCTAGTGCTCAGTCTTCAGTTTGTTCAAAAATCGGCTCTTCAGTATTTCGTTTGAGGTCAGTATAAATCTGTCAAAAATCCCCACCCTCGGGCCACTCAGAAAAAAGTGCTATTTCCAAATCCCGACCCACCGGACAAAGTGATTGATCAAATCCCCCCTTTGCCGACCCC